TAAGTTCGCAACGCTTGCAGAGGAGAAAGCTGAGAATGACCTATACAAGATAACGGACCTTCAAGACTTCTAACCTGACTCGTACATCCCGCTTCGCATCCCCGGCTACCCACACCACGGCAGCCAGAATGGAAACCACCTTCTTGGTTAACGTGGATTACCTGGGCGGCGGGGAGCAGACTCGAGACAGGAGCAGCGACGGCCTGGGGCGCCAGGTTCAGGGACCCTAGAGCACGGGTCAATGCCCACAGAGCCATAGGTGTAGCTAGGTTCTTCTAGGGTCAACAAGCCACCCTTTCCTTTAGTTTAGCCAGCTAGCCGGTCTACCCGGCGCTCCCAGATGACGTAAGTACTCTCGGCGCGGTCGCTCCCCAATAACGTAAAAGGAGGGGGAGCAGAGAACCAGAGCCAATCCTCGAGCGACTCCGCGGTCACGCGACTAAGTGACAGGCCCCGCCCCTTGGAGCCGTCAAAACAATTGCCTCGAGCGGCAGCCATAATGAATTTAAAGGGACAGTACTGGCAAGATAGGCAGCCAGACCAACAGATTGCAGGTAAGTCTTTGAGGGTACTTCTGGGGCTGAGGATTGAGGGCCCCGCCACCTCTTATTCTCGCACTCTCAGACAGATGAACAAACCTTCTCTAACCAACCTCACAAAATTTCATTCTCAAAAACTCCGCCCCCCGCGACTCTTCCCCGCCCCTCGGCGTGCAGACAGACAGACAGAATGCCTGCTCCGCCCCCTGTGCAACAGACTGGCTCAGTGACCTCGGGCCGCCAGGTCCTCGCCCGAGACACGGACCTCAGTAGTCCAACCGCACTTCCCCCCGCCCATCTCTGTCCCCACCCTGGGCCCCAGGGCAGGTCGGCAGCTTGAGACACTCCTCACCCGCATTCCCAAGTCCAGGAGACCAACTCCCAGCGCCGCGTTTCCCTGTGACCCCCGCAGCCGCTCAGCAGACCTCCTATTCTTCCCTGCATCATCAGGCATTTGGGAGGCACCCTAAGGTGATTCCTCTCAGAACCTTTTAGTAGGTGGTCGTGACAGAGAGAAAGCCCGTAGAAGTGACCAGACTGGAAGTGACCAGGTTTTCCTCGTCACCTTTTCCCAGACAGGCCTCTTGCCGTAGGTTTTTAAGTCTCTCATTCCCTTCTGGGAGAAAGAAGCTCCCCAGGCCTGGGGTGGGAAGCTGGCTTGGGGAAGGAGAAGGGACATTGGGCTTCTTTGAAGACTTGTAGACAGAGGGAGGGAGGGTGTTTGTCCTGGGTGGGGCTCTGTGCCAGTCTTCTGGGTGGCTGTGAAGTGGTGAGAGAAGGAGTGGGAATGCTGGACTTCTGGACTTTGGGCAGGGCAAATCCTTCCAAATACCTGGCTACTGAGCAGAGTTTCTTCCGGGCTCTGGCCTGAGTGCCACAGCCAAGGGCTCTGCACACAGGTAAGAGGACTCCAAGGTGAGAAACAAAGCCCTTTTGAGGAAATGAGAAGACAGCCTGAATCCTGGGGGGCTGGGAAGTATGGATTGAAGATTGGTAGCAAAAGAGGCAAAGCAAACCAGGTTTCGAGGTGCTGGGTTTAGTTCTATGGGTGATCCAGCTTGAAGACCTTGAGCCTTCTGAGCCTTCTTATTTGGATCATTGAAGGAAAGCTCCTGTTTCCTTCTTTTCCCTTTCTTCTCTGATTTAACTTTAAAATTTCTTTCTTGGCTCAGTGCCTGTAGCTCAGCGGCTAGAGTGCCAGCCACATACACTGGAGCTGGTGGGTTCGAATCCAGCCTGGGCCTGCCAAACAATGACAATTACAAAAAAAAAAATAGCCAGGCGTTGTGGTGGGCACCTGTAGTCCCAGCTACCAGGGAGGGTGAGACAAGAGAATCATTTAAGCCCAAGAGTTTGAGGTTGCTGTGAGCTGTGATGCCATGCTACTCTACTGAGGGTGACTCTGTCTCAAAAAAAAATTCTTTTTTTCTCTTTCTATTTTTATTTTCTTTTCTTCTTTTTCTTTCTCTTTTCTTTCTCTCTCTCTCTCTCTTTCGACAGAGTTTCACTCTGTCACCTAGGCTAGAGTGCACTAGTGTCATCATAGCTCACTACAACCTCAGAACTCCTAGGCTAAGTGATCTCCTGCCTCAGCCTTCCAAGTAGCTGAAAATATAGGCTCTACCACACCCTGCTTATTTTTCTATTTTTAATAGAGACAGGGTCTCACTCTTGTTCAGGCTGATTTCAAACTCCTGAGCTCAAGCAATCCACCTGGCTCGCCTCCCAGAGTGCTAGGATTATAGACATGAGCCACCATGCCTGGCCTTTTCCCTTTTTTCTAATCCCCTGCACCATTTTCTGTGTATCTCCTGTCTACCTTAACCTTATTCCCTTTGAAGGTCTCTGATACACACTCTGTGATCCCTGTAGTACTGTCTCTTATTCCCTGCTTCCTTTTCCTAACCCAAGCTCTCTCTCCAAGTCCTTGTTTGTTCTAAGTCCTGAATCCCCCTACTAGTTCTAAGCACCTTTGTTCTTTCTATAGTTTTTATTTAATTAAGTCAATTTATATCCCTCTCTCTTTGTCTACAATCTTAGTTTTGTGTTTAGTGACATAGACTCCCTACTACCACTCTCTCTCTCCGGTTAAGTCACAGGATCACTCATATTTTTGTCCCTTTTGTATCTTAGCCCACCCTGTATCATTTTTACACCTGCTGAACTCTTGTTTTTCCCTAGACTGGGTGAGGCCCCCAGGCCAGGATGTCAGGCCTCATGTTGGGGCAGCGGGATGAGCCTGCAGGGCACCGGCTCAGCCAAGAAGAGATCCTGGGGAGCACTCGGCTGGTGAGCCAAGGGCTGGAGGCCCTACACAGTGAACACCAAGCTGTGCTGCAAAGCCTGGCCCAGACCATCGAATGTCTACAGCAAGGAGGCCACGAGGAAGGGCTGGTACATGAGAAGGCCAGGCAGCTGCGCCGTTCTATGGAAAACATCGAGCTGGGGCTGAGTGAGGCCCAGGTGAGAGGGTGGAGGTGGTAGTCTAGGGTATCTGATTGGATGTTTGGGGTCATTTGGGATCACCTTGCTCTAGACATTTCCATTCTTTTGGTAAACATTTATTAAACCCCTACTCTGTTCCAGGACTCTTTTGGGTACTGGAGATATATCACTGAACATGACAGTAAAAATCTTTGGCAGGCCAGATGTGGTGGCTCACGCCTGTAATCCTAGTGCTCTGGGAGGCCAAGATGGGTAGATAGCCTGAGCTTACAGGTTGGAGACCAGCCTAAGCCAGAGTGAGACCCCCTTCTCTAAAAAATAGCAGGGCATTGTGGCAGGCACCTGTAGTCCCAGCTACTCTGGATGCTGATACAAGAGAATTGCTTGTGTCCAAGAGTTTGTGGTTGCTGTGAGCTATGATGCCACGGCACTCTACCAAGGGCAACAAAGTGAGACTTTGTCCCCCCCAAAAATCTTTGGCATTTCCTCCTTGGGGGACACAGACACTACACAAGTAAACAAGTAAAAGATTCAGTATGCCAGAGTGATAATTGCTAAGGTTAAAACAATAAAAGTAGGCCAGGCATGGAGGTCATGCCTGTTTTTCCCACACTTTGGGAGGCCCAAGCAGAACAAGTGCTTGAGTCCAGGAGTTTGAGACAAGTCTGGGCAACATGGTAAGACCTACAAAAATACAAATTAGCCAGGTGTGGTGGCAGGCACCTGTAGTCCTAGCTACTTGGGAGGCTGAGGTGGGAGATCGCTTGAGCCCAGGAGTTTGAGGTTGCAGTGAGCTGCAATGGCAATGCTGCACTCTAGCCTGGGTAACAGAGTGAGAGCCTATATCAAAAATGAAGAAAGAGGGCAGTGCCTGTGGCTCAGTGAGTAGGGCACCAGCCCCATATACCAAGGGTGGTGGGTTCAAACCCAGCCCCGGCCAAACTGCAACAACAACAACAAAAACAGCTCGGCATTGTGGCGGGCACAGCTACTCGGGAGGCTGAGGCAAGAGAATTGCCTGGGCCCAGGAGTTGGAGGTTGCTATGGGCTGTGATGCCACAGCAAAAAAAAAAAGAAGAAAGAAAGAAAGCAGGGAAGGAGACTAGGGAGTATAGAGAGAGGGTATAGTTTTAAATAGAGTGGTCAAAAAAGCCTCACTGAAAAGGTGACATTTGGGGAAAGATTTGAAGGCAGGGGAATGAGACATGCAATAGGTAGGGGAAGAGCATGGTAGACAGACAGAACAGCAAGTGCAAAGGCCCTGAACTGGGGCCTGCCCAGTGTGTTCAGTGAACAGCAAGGGGCCAGTGTGGCTGCAGTCAAATGAGGGGGCAGAAACAAAGTAGAAAATTAAGTCCAAGGGTTGTGGGTTGGGGGAGAGGGAGACAGATCATGTTGAACTTGTAGGCTGTCATAAGAACTTTGTTTTTAGTTTCGTCTTTTGAGACAGAGTATCACTCTGTTGCCCAGGCTAGAGTGCCATTGTGTAAGCCTAGCTCACAGCAACTTCAAACTCCTAGGTCAGGGGTCCTCAAACTTTTTAAACAGGGGGCCTGTTCACTGTCCCTCAGACCGTTGGAGGGCTGGACTGTGGGCCTGGGGATGAGTGGGCAGGACAGGCAGCGGCAGCAAAAACACCTGGCAGTCCAGATAAATGTCCTAGGTGAGCTGCATGTGGCCCGCGGGCCTGTAGTTTGAGGATGCCTGTCCTAGGCTGAAGCAATTCTCTGGCCTCAGTTTCCCAAGTAGCTGGGACTACAGGCTCCCACCACAATGCTTGGCTAATGAGAACTTCATTTTTATTTTGTGTGAGATGGAAACTATTGGAATGTTTTAAGAAGAGGAGTAGTGGGCAGTGCCTGTGGCTCAAAAGGGTAGGGTACTGGCCCCATGTGCTGGAGGTGGTGGTTTCAAACCCAGCCCTGGCCAAAACTGCAACAAAAAAAAAAAAAAAGAAGAGGGGTAGTATGGTCTAATTTGACATTGTCAGTCTAACTAGACCAGTGGTTCTCAACCTTGCTAATGCTGCGGCCCTTTAATACAGTTCCTGTGGGTTGAAAACCTCTGAACTAGACTATGGAAAAGCAAGGACAGAAACAGGGAAGCCAGTGAGGAGAATATTATAGTAATCCAGCTGGAAATTGATAATTGACTTGGGTGACTTTGGGTGATGGCAATGGAGGTCGTGAATTATATTTTGAAGGCAAAGCTACTGCTATCACCCCACCTCCTGGCTCCTCTGTGCCCCTACTAGACTTGCTACCTCCCAGTATGCTCTCCTCCTTCCTATCCCTGAACACTCCCATCCAGACTCTGGAGCTCATGGGATATGCCCACCTAGGTGATGCTGGCCCTAGCCAGCCACCTGAGCACAGTGGAGTCAGAGAAACAGAAGCTGCGGGCTCAGGTGCGGCGGCTATGCCAGGAGAACCAGTGGCTTCGGGACGAGCTGGCGGGCACCCAGCAGCGGCTACAGCGAAGTGAACAGGCTGTGGCTCAGCTAGAGGAGGAAAAGAAGCACCTGGAGTTTCTGGGGCAGCTGCGGCAGTATGATGAGGATGGGCACACTGCGGTGAGTGTGCACAGGCAAAGCAAGCTGGAGGGTGGGCAGCTGGGGGTTACTGCAAACATGGGGGCAATGGCCTCATCATCCTTAGGGTCCAGCAGCTCTGCCCCATGGGAAGACAATGCTCACTCATTCAGTCAACATTTGATTAAATACCTACTGTGTGCTAGGTACTGTGCACTCCACCAAATGGGGCAGAGTTCCTGCTTTCATTATTATAGGTTTGTGAGGAGAGACAGATAAGCACCTGGACAATTCCAACCCAGAATCCTAAGTGCTACCATTAAGGAAAGCATAGCCCAGTTAAGCATGACCCTCCTAAAATTTATTCTAAAATGTGTGGAATTTAACTCTCACTTGACAGGCATTTATTTATGTATCTCTGTGTCTTATACAGGACAAGAAGATGTGTGTGGGAAAGACAAAGGACTATAAAAGTTCCGGTGTCCTAGGGTTTATAATGTACCTGTAGGGAGCAAGGCCTACACAAGAACATATATAGGACAATACAAAGCAGCAAGTGCTCAGCGAGAAGGAGTAGTTCAGTCCGTGTGGGAGGACTCCCAGGAAGATAGAGGGCATCACAGAGGAGGCAGTGTACAGAGATGGATAGGATTTAGGTTGGATTTCTCAGTTGAATGGGTTAGGAGTTGGTTAGGAATGGGATGGATTTTGAAGGATCATGAGGAAGCGGGAAGAGCTTCCTAGACTAGAGGTGAGGGTATCATAGATAAAGCTGGGGGGCTGGAAAGCTAATCTGTCCCAGTAAAGTAGAGAGATGATCCGCATAGTGCACAGCAGTGGAGCTGGGTAGGAGGGTTGGAGGTATTTGAATAAGGCTGCAGTTCCCACTGTGGAAGCAGGTTAGATGGTGAGAGCAGTGGTAGATGATGAGCAGAAGCACAAGGCTGAGCCAGACAATTTGGGTATGTCAGTAAGATCAGATGCCCTCCCTCCCTCCCTCAGGAGAGACAGGACAGACATATAATCAATGTAAATACATGGGGATCAGCACAGGACTATAATTATAAGAGTTGGGGAGAGGAAGAGATTGAGGGTGGTTAGAAAGGATACTTTCTGGATATAAAGGAAGGGAAAGTCATGAGATTTTGTCCAAAACATCTCTGGATGTTACAAATAACAGAGGCCTGAGCTTTGCTGGGCCAGATGCTGGCCTTCCTAAGGGCAGAGTTGGGAAGAAGGCTCTTCTCCTAAGCCCCATCTATCAGTGATTCCATGGCTTAGAGATACCCTTGAAGAGGACACTAGAGATAATCTTGGCCCTGACATGCTGTTTTTTCCCTTCTAGGAGGAGAAGGAAGGTGATGCCTCCAAGGATTCCCTAGATGACCTCTTCCCCAATGAGGAGGAAGAAGACCCCAGCAATGGCTGTAAGTTTGCCTCTGGAGTTGAAGGGTTAAAAGTGGCAGCAGGAGGCTGGTCTCAGCCGTGGCCCACCCTGTACACAAGATGTTCATATTCCGAAATAAGCTGTCCACTTCCTCTAGAGGTGGGACATGAGCTAAGATAGTACTTTTTTTTTTTTTTAAATACAGAGTCTCACTTTGTTGCCCTTGGTAGACTGCTGTGGTATTTTTTTTTTTTTT